ACTACTGTTATGACATATTATCATGCTAGAAAAGGTGATTGAAATTATCATTGATCAAACTTGTGCACCTGCTAGCATTCACACTTCATAAATTCTTTCTTTTATCATTTACCTACTCGAGGACGAGTAGGAATTAAGCTTGGGGATGCTGATACGTCTCCAACGTATCTATAATTTATGAAACATTCATGCTATTTTATTACCAGTTTTGAATGATTACGGGCTTTATTATACACTTTTATATTACTTTTGGGACTAAACTATTAACCGGAGGCCCAGCCCATATTGATGTTTTATTGCCTGTTTCAGTATTTCGAAGAAAAGGAATATCAAACGGAGTCCAAACGGAATGAAACCTTCAGGAGCGTGATTTTTAGGAAGAATATGATCCGGGAAACTTGGAGTTCACGTCAGAAGATCATCAAGGAGGCCACGAGACAGGGGGCGCGCCCACCCCCTAGGCGCGCCCTACCCTCTCGTGGGCCCCTCGAGGCTCCCCCGACCGACTTCTTTCGCCTATATAAGCCTACGCACCCTAAAAACATCGACAACGAAGATAGATCAGGAGTTCCGCCGCCGCAAGCCTCTGTAGCCACCAAAAACCTCTCAGGAGCCCGTTCTGGCACCCTGCCGGAGGGGGAACCCATCACCGGTGGCCATCTTCATCATCCCGGCGTTCTCCATGACGAGGAGGGAGTAGTTCACCCTCGGGGCCGAGGGTATGTACCAGTAGCTATGTGTTTGATCTCTCTCTCTCTCTCTCTCTCGTGTTCTCTCTATGACACGATCTTGATGTATCACGAGCTCTGCTATTATAGTTGGATCTTATGATGTTTCTCCCCCTCTACTCTCTTGTGATGAATTGAGTTTTCCTCTTGAAGTTATCTTATCGGATCGAGTCTTTATTTGAGAACACTTGATGTATGTCTTGCCGTGTTTATCTTTGGTGACAATGGGATATCACGTGCCACTTGATGTATGTTTTGGTGACCAACTTGCAGGTTCCGCCCATGAACCTATGCATAGGGGTTGGCACACGTTTTCTTGACCCTCCGGTAGAATCTTTGGGGCACTCTTTGAAGTACTTTGTATTGGTTGGATGAATCTGAGATTGTGTGATGCATATCGTATAATCATGCCCAAGGATACTTGAGGTGACAATGGAGTATCTATGTGACATTAGGGTTTTGGTTGATTTGTGTCTTAAGGTGTTATTCTAGTATGAACTCTATGATAGATTGAGCGGAAAGAATAGCTTCATGTTATTTTACTACGAACTCTTGAATAGATAGAACAGAAAGGATAACTTTGAGGTGGTTTCGTACCCTACCATAATCTCTACGTTTGTTCTCCGCCATTAGTGGCTTTGGAGTGACTCTTTGTTGCATGTTGAGGGATTGTTATATGATCTATCTATGTTATCATTGTTGAGAGAACTTGCACTAGTGAAAGTATGAACCCTATGCCTTGTTTCCTATTATTACAATACCGTTTACGCTCACTTTTATCATTAGTTACCTTGCTGTTTTTATATTTTCAGATTACAAAAACCTATATCTACCATCCATATTGCACTTGTATCACCATCTCTTCGCCGAACTAGTACACCTATACAATTTGCCATTGTATTGGGTGTGTTGGGGACACAAGAGACTCTTTATTATTTGGTTGCAGGGTTGTTTGAGAGAGACCATCTTCATCCTACGGCTCCCACGGATTGATAAACCTTAGGTCATCCACTTGAGGGAAATTTGCTACCGTCCTACAAACCTGTGCACTTGCAGGCCCAACAACGTCTACAAGAAGAAGGTTGTGTAGTAGACATCAGCGCTCCGCTCACCAGGAGTGCGTAGTGGTCCGGTCCATTTGATTTTTTTACTTCTGTTCAAAACTGAAAAAAGGTCTGCAGGGAGCAGGACTTGAACTCGGCATCTATCCCTAGGGCTGCGCCAACCACTATGCCAACGAATAACCAGTGCTTATTAACGTCGTTTGCCTTCTTTTATTCTTCTCCAGCTCGCAAAGCGTCCGGTGTGGGGAGCTTCCCAAACCGTTTTTTTCTTGTTTATCTTTTTCTGTAACGGTTTTGTTCATCTCTTTTCTTTCCTTTTTTTTGCTAAATGTGTGTACTTTTCTTAAAAATAAATAAATCAAAGAATGTGTTTTTCAAAGTCGACGATTTTTTTCACATTTGAAAAAATTTGATTGTTATTCATCAAATCTAAAAAAATTCAACGAATTTGAGAAAAGTTCATCATAATTGAAAAAAGTTCATCAAATCAGAGAAAAGTTCATCATAATTAGAAAAAGTTCATCGATTTTTTAAAAAGTTCAACGGATTTGAAAACAAAGTTCATCAGTTTTGAAAAAAGTTCTGCGGATATGGAAAAAAGTTTGTCGGTTTTGAAATTTTTGTTTTATTTTTCCCCAGAAGAATGCAAAAGTCATTTCTTCATGCTTTATACATGAGTAGAACACTAAAACCATGTTTTCCATAATTGTTTTTACTTCTATAAAAAAAAATATCGAATGTGCCTAGACCCAGGAACCAAAAACCTGCCGTCCTTCCAATCATAGTTTCTTTTAAAGGGGCTGCGAGATAATTGCAGGTGCATTCATAACCTTGTAAAGGAAAGGAATGGCACACAATCACATCGTTGTGAACAATGGAATAGTATTATCGGCAAAAGGAATCATGTTTTGAGGTTTTAGAACACTTGTGGATTGGGTTACTGAGCCAAGAGCTACTTGAACACTGATTAGGTTTGCTAGGCTCAAATGGAGGTTCCAGTTTGAAGACATTGAAATTCATTACAAGGACACGTGGATTAGATAGTTTGATGCTTAGAAATATGTGAAATTTAGAAAATAAAGCAAAGAACATTGCTTTGAAAACCAATTAATTAAATATCACATACCAGAATGATTGAATGAACCCTACCAACAATGTTTGTTGTACTGTGTGTTAATTAACAATTGACACCGGAAGACCAGATTCAGTGAATGACCCATTAAGACAACTCAACTGTAACTCACCCAACTGGTGTTCCCTATAACATGGGTTAGTGACAGTTAAATCTAGGCGGCCAGATTCAGGCAACTGCGAGTTAACTCTTCCCTGCATGCGCCATCCTTTGATGAAACGAGACACTCAAAAGCCTGATTAGGCCTCTTCCGGTGGATTGGTGCTTATGCTAGGTGCTAAATACATTAAAAATCTTTGCAATTTATCTCCCAAATGCATATATGCATAGCTTTTGTAGCTAAGCTTCCTTCATTTAATTGTTTAGCAACTCCTTTATGCATTGGTTGGTAGGCATTTTGCATAAAGCCACGTGTTTGGTATCATTTCTTCCTAGGGTCACGAAAGTGATGTCTTTCCTCCTTAATTGCTTTGCCACATCAATTTTTTTCTTCTCTATGTGGCATTTTTATCACCTGTACAATGTAGAGCATTAGGAAGGGCCTGAGCATTCGCACCGGGTCGATCTTGGAACCTGCGATTTCCCTTTTTCGGGGCACATGGCATGTTATTGGCCAAACAACTTTCAGCAAAATCTAGAGACATACAATATCTTCAATTAGCAGCATCAACTCTGTAGATCTCACAGCAACTGTTTTTTCTTTTTTTTTTCAGTGGAGCACATGTTGGCTGCACAACAACAACAGTTGAGAGAAGTCCATATTGCACCCATGAGCTCTTCGGTTTGCCAAATATTCAACCCCTAACTTTAAATAGGCTAAGATTCAACCTTGAGCCATCAAAACCATTTAGGTCTCAAACCCTCCCCTGACCATGGTTTTGGTCTCGTTGATCGTCCAGTCAACCAGCCACGTCAGCGCAAAAATCATGTTTTGTACAATTTTGTCAAAAAGTTCAAAAAATTGGAAACTTTCGAAAAAGTTATGTAAAATTAAGAAAACAATAATTAGCATTCTCAGAAAAGTTTCAGAAACTTATGCTTAAAATAACAGAAGTTACTGTCAAAATTGTCCATTTTTTGCCAAATCTTGTCATAAATTCAAAGGTTACAGAAAAGTTTGAAAAAAATCAATAAAAGAATTCTAAGCATCCTAGGAATTGTTTTTCAGATTTTTCGGGCGAACCTTGAATTTTTGACAAAATTTGCACAAAAAGTGGGTAGAAAATGAAATTTGAGGTTAATTTCTGTTCTATTAAGCAATTTTTTTGAACATCTCCCCTGAGTACTTGGTATTGCTTTCTTGAATGTTTTCAAAGTTTTCTGAAAATTTCAATTTCGACTAAAATTTAGGTAGATGATGAATTTGACAGTAATTTTTATTATGTTATGCAAAAAAAAACTTTCCCAAAATGCTTACTACTGGGTTTACAGAAAATTTCAAAAAAAATGGAATTTAAAATTTTAATGTATTTGACAAAAAATGGCCATATGTTTTTTTGGAAATTTAACCATTATTTTGATTATTTTAAGCAAACAATTCCCAGAATGATAAGTATTGTATTGTTGATTTTTTAAAAATTTATTCTCTAAACTTCGATTTTTTTGGAGAAAAAAATGTTGGGAAGAAAATGATAGTTGTGCTAACATGGCTTGCTGAATGGAGGGTCAGCGGGGTCAAAATCAGGGCAGAAGAGTGGAGGGTTGATTCCTATAGCCGTTTTTGACAGTTCAGGGTTGAGTCTTAACCGGTTTTGAAGTTCAGAGTTGAATCTTAGACAAACCGAAGAGTTTAGCATTGTGGAGCAAAAGTTTAGCAGTAATATGGACTTCTCTCACAGTATTTTTTTTAGACAAACTTCTCTCACATTGCAGCAAAAAAATAATAATGTATGAGGTTACATGTATGAGGTAGGGGGTAGGCCGTTGCAGCAAAAGAAAGGAGCCCAAGGCGTAAGCCGCTCACGGAATGAAGCCCATACGCCGCCCGGCCCAATAAGACACCGCAGCCTTTTTCCAGTCTGCTTCTCAAACCGAGGCAAAATCCTCTCTTCAGAGACGGCCAGACGGGGGCAAAAAATGGAGGCCGCCGGAGGCGGGGAGGCGGAGGCGGCGGAGGAAGAGCAGGTGATGAGCGAGGTGCACCTGGGCTGCCCGCCCCGCTTCCCCGGCCTCTTCCTCTCCCGCTTCACCTTCTCCTCCCGCCCCCTAGGTAATGACCACGCACGCGCCCCCTCCTCTGTTCTCAGTCGCATTTCATCATACACCTTCACTGCGCCGCTTCTTGGCTCACATCCTCGGTTTGGCTCCTGCTGACGTGACACCTGATGTTTTCTAGACCCACCCGGAGGCGACGACGGCGAGCGCAGCGATGGGTGCGAGCTGGTCGCATCAACGAGCAGTTCATGTGAGCGGGCGAGTGAGTTTTGATTGTTCCTACCGTAGGTAGACGGTGGATGGTGGATTGCTTGGTGTGGTGACTTGATTCTTGGCTTTATTGAGAAGGTGGCTCGCCGGACGCTGTCGCCGTGGACGCCGACGGGGACCTCGTTCTCGACCGGAGAACAAGAAGGATTGGAGACAGTAAGGCGCGCTTGTTGCCGCATCCGTCCTGTCCTTGTCGGTGAGTTGCAAAACCTGATCTTCCTTGGCATGCAGGAAGAAGAAGAAGCGAGGATCTTGTGCTCACCGTGCAGCACGGCGTCACCTCATCTCTGCGGAGCGTCGGGCTTCAGGTACGTTGGAGAAGCTTTCAGTGGTGGATTTCGTATTGTGCTTTCTTTCTTCCTTTCGTCTCGCCTGTGATCCATTGCTTGTTTCTGTTATTGTTGCTTCACAGGTTTGGAAGGCGGCCATGCTGCTAACCGACTTTGTGCTGCACAAGAGCTTCACGTCGTCTGAATTCGACGGTGTTACTGCCATGGAGATCGGTGCTGGCACAGGTGATAATTCACTCTGAGATTTAGTTGATACAGAATCCTTCCAACTTTGCTTCATCTTCCAGTTTTATTACCACTCTGTACAAGGTTGCTGTACGGCTTGTTCTTGAACACCAGCGATATTCATGTAATCGCACAATGTTTGCCAGGTTTGGTCGGGTTGGCGCACGCTCGAGTTGCCAGAAGAATTTTCATTACAGGTAATCAGGTCTCCTTACAGTTTGCCAGTAGAATCCAGTAGGTATGGCTGGATCTGAAAGTCTGAATGATGGATATTGGCAATTCGACATGATACTTAAATGCACCCTGAAAAAGTAATACATGGAGCAATCAAAGTTTCTTATGCCATGTTGCTATCTTTAGTCCTCACGTATTTTATTCACCAATGGGAATGAACAGATCGAGGCACTGATATCCTCGATAATTGCTTGGCTAATGTCCGTCTCAACTCTAGCATGCTAAAGTTTGATGAAGCAAAAGTCCTTGTACGGGAACTGGACTGGAAAATGTCGTGGCCTCCGCCCGTGGGTACACATGATGCATCTGATCCAAGGTTTTCTTCTGCGCCAATTGCAGTCCTGATTGCTCTATTGTTTACCATGGACTTCTGAATTATTATTTTTTGCTAAATGTTCCTCGGCACCGAGCTTAAGTTATGTGTTCTTCAATGCAGTTCGATATACTTTTGGTCTGCAAGTGAAATCAAGGAGGCTGAGCAAGCCACACTACTATTTGCTGCAGATGTTATTTACAGTGACGATCTCACCGATTTGTTCTTCGACACAGTGAGGCAGCTCATGTCACGTGGTGCCAAGAAGGTATCATTATATTCACTGACAACCACTATCTATTCATAGAAATCCAGCTAGTTAACATGGTTGAGAGGAAGACTCAGATTCTCCTTTGCATCTGGTAGGTGCTGTACTTGACCCTGGAGAAGAGATACAACTTCAGCCTGGACGAACTAGACGTCGTGGCCAATGGTTACAAGCATTTCCGAAGCTTCTTCACGGTTCAAGATGGTAACATCCTTGCTAGATACTCTGACAAGCCGGCAAAATAATTGCTCCATCAGGCTATCTCAACTAACCTCCGTTCAATCCCAGTGTCTCCAGGATGTGGAGGCCAGGATAATGCTACACTGAAACCAGGCCTCGTGGGGGAGCAGATAGACCTTGCGAGGGTTCCTCAGTACATCAGGGAATATGACAGAGGCAAGGATCCGGAGATGTGGAAGCTCATGTACTGTCCAGACTAAAAATAGCATCATCGGTTTACATCGACTGTTTATGTTCATGCTGTGTGGAAATTATGTGTTCCCCCTAGGATACACATCTTCCTGTGGCTGCTGGATAACAGCCTGCTTATGACCAAAGACAACTTGATGAAAAGAAACCTTTTGCAAGGTCTGAAGAATCTCTGTTTTGCTCTGATCATGAATCTGTTAAGCATCTTTTCTTTGGTTGTGAGCTTTGGTTGGTCATTGCTAGATATTTTAATGCCTCTATTGGCAATTCCTTTGAATTAACTGCTAGGTTTTGGATTGCCAACAAGAAACACCTCTTGCCTAAGTTGAACAATTCCTTTGAATAGTACTCCCTCCGATCCAAAATTAGAGTCACAGTTTTGAACTGGGCTTAGTTCAAACTGCAACACTTTTTATGGATCGGAGGTAGCATGATTTTTGATTATATTTCCTGGACTGACATCAAAAGAGCTTTGGTGGAGAATCCTAAAAACTGTCAAAAACACGGTCCAGTAAAGTACATGTAATCAAAGTTCTGAATTTATCTTTGCATGAAACGATAGTTTTTACTACAGTACATGATTGTAGGGAGTACACTGGCATAACTAAATCCAAAGTGAAACATTGGCAGCTCCAGGAATGAATCTGTTGGCCCGGTAAGAATGTCCCATCAGTTTGGATCGATGGTCAGGTCCTGTGTACAGCAGGGCATGAATGCCCATTAGTTTGGCTTCCAACAGAGCATCAACATGGGTAGCAAAATATCAGTTCAAATACATTAAGTAAGATGTATGGATGGCGCCAGTTCCCCTATGTGTATGTACCTCCATTCTGAGCCTGCCAAACAGGTGGATTGAGTGGATGATAAATATATACATATCCTCTGCAAACTCGCATTAATAAATAAGTATATAAACAACAATTGTGTCGACTGATAAATTTGCGATTCTGATACCCAGCAAGGAGCAGCTAGCTAGGGTAACATTAAACTGCGTACCATAAGAAGCACAACGCAGGAAAAGCGACCATCAGCGGAGGGAGTCATGTTTCGGCCAACTCAGGGTCCCTATTACAGTTTCCTGTTGGTGTCTGTCTCTCTGGCCTTCAGCACAGGAAATCGGAACCAGTTGGTGTTGTGCTTGAGCTTGAGGTACAGGAAGTGCTCGGATTGCGTCATGTAACATTCCGGACAAGCAATTCTGCACTTTTCGTTTCTTCTCCGTTTCTTCTCCAGGGGCCGGAGCATGCCTTGGGTTGGTTCAGCAGTGAGTGGATTTGTGCTTGCTTCTGCACAACGGCCTCCAGGAGTAAGTGTAGCTCATCACAATATCCCAAATATAGCGCATGCATCTCTCTCCATTGCACTGCTTCCCCTGAAAACAGAAGCAGATTCCAAATCATCCATAAATATGATGCTCGAGTAAAGATGTTAGTGCAACAGTGCTTTTCAATGAATGACTAATAGGACAAGCATCCGCATCATGTCATACATAATTCAGAGTCATGGCTAACTCACAGGATGTCCAGAAACCACAACTTAAAAAAAAGTGATCATGTATGCACAGATGTTAATTCAGGCTTGTCGCAAAGCAAGCAGGTTTTGAAATCAACCTGTGGTCCATTAGAGCTAACTTGTCTCTAGTGAGAAGCTTATTATGAAACAACATCCAGAGGAAGGAGGATATGGATTTATGGGGAATGGCTACCTCCCATGTAGGAAGATTGTCTCTACATTACGTGACCAAAAGACATATTACGTGAAGAAAAAGTATAGCCAATGCCCATCCACTCAGAGCACTCCCCAGCTTTTCATTGCCGAAATTGACAGCAATCACTCATCTGCTTCAAAATACGCCAGAATGGAAGTCATCCTTTCGGATACAAGGCAAAGCTATAACATTGGACTTTGCAGAATCTCCAAGCTCCGACCTTCTTCTCCCATGGGGTGGGGAGCGGCAGTGCCACCCGAGGAGAACATCAAGCACCCAGGACAAGATTAATTTCCGGGTACTGGAAAACTACTGCTGTGGGGGTATGCGGAAATCTTGGTGACCTCTGTCTTGTCCTCCAAATTATTTCCCGTAAATCTAGGTTCATAAAATGCTTCTCCAAAAACATCTACATTTGTTCTTCTTGATAACCACCAATAAAGGTTTGTAATGACAGGGAAGGCAATAGCTACAATATACGACACAATGAACAAAGAAATATACGAGGATAAAATGACTAGTTTGGAAACTTGTGCATTGCTGCAATGCAGACAGCTCTTGACTCTCACACCAGAATTCACAGACCATCCATTCCATGAAGAGACAATCTGCCTATATGTTGGATTTTCTTATTCAGCATATATGCAAATTACATGATGAGACAATTAAAGCAAGACACACGAACTACGACCAGTCTAGAGGATCCCATATATGCCCAAGAGAGTGTCACTTCAGGTCTAATTAAGAAAGATGCATACCGTATCCAGAGTGTTATTTCCGCTGGTTCGAAGCAAGGTTGGCAATGAGCTCATTCAAAACAGAGGGATAGGTTGTAACTATATGCCCCCAGCCATTAGTCGCCATTAGTGTCTGCAAACGCGAGGGAGGTTGGACCTGGATAAACTTCAAGCGCGCCTCCTTTAATCCGCGGAAGTGGTGCTGCTCGGCTAGAGCGAGAGTGGACGCCACCAGGCTCACACCCATGTGCTCAGACAACTGCTTCTCACAGATTAACCTGAGCCGCTAGAGATCGTATCTGTCTGCCGCAACAAATAAGTCTTGCAGCCATTGGAGCCGCATTTCATCCTCTACTTCTTCTTCTTGTGTTTGTTGGATGGCATCTGCCATTTCACTCTCAGACGCTTCCTCTATGTGTCCTTGCTCCACACGTTGCGCTGCCAACGCCGAAGCCGCTTCTCCCCGGAAAGAGAGCTTGCAGTGAGGTGACGGTGTAACCTGGTCACGTCCAGCGACCGCACGGGGTTGGAAGTCGGTCCTGTCAAGTCGCCACCGTTCCACTCGCACGGTTTTTTTTTTAGCATCAGACACAAGCGCTCATATACACGCGCATACATTCACTCCTATGAACGCACACACCAACACCCTACCCCTATGAGCACCTACGAAAGACTGAGCCGACATATTATCTTGAAATTTACGAAGCCACCGTAGGCGCCTCGTCGTCGACGGGAACGTCTCCTCACACTCGCACGGGGTTGGAAGTCGATCCTCCCGGAGACAGAGTTTGCAGCGGCGGCTCGTTTGTGCGTGTGGCTGGGCCTGCCTGAAGAGTTAGGGTTAGCTCTAACCACATTGATTGGGCTTTTGAGGCCCTCACTGTCCACGAGCTGCAAAGCCCACCTCACGGCCCTCTATGGGCAGATCCTGCATGTAAAAAAAACTATTTATGCTATATTATGTTCGAATTCCCCCTAAAAAAAGTTCGAATTCCCCCGAAAACGTAATATTATGTTCGAATTTGTGTTCAATGCTAAATAACATTTTTAGTGGGTTTTAATCACAAAAAAATGTTTTCAATCCATTCAAAAAGTTCCCACCTTTGTTTCTATAATACCTGAATAGTTTTTTTTGAACTTATAATTGTTCCCACTAAACCTATTTTGTAGCACATGCCCCCAATTTAAGTGTTCCATCTCCAATGATCCAGCTTACATGCATACTCTTTATTCACACACAATTACTTCTAAAAAATAATAGCTTTTAATTTAGGTCATTTCGTTCATACAAAATTTATCCAAAATTAATATTTAAAATCCCGCAATAACATGATGGGAATCACCTAGTCTCTACTATTAAAGGAGAATCGAACGTCGTGATGGTTCGACCTCGATCCCGCACCGAGAAAATCGCTCGTACGATCCCACCTCCCTCCCTCGCTGTGGCAGTCTCGTAAAAAATCACACCCGTCGAAACGCACGACGCGTCGTCATGGTTCGACCCCCTTTCCCACGCCACGATCCATCCACGTACGTAGCTCTCTTCCAAAACAAACCTTCAATTTGTAGGCGAAAGCTAAATCAAACCCCGAACTCTCAATCCCTAAAATGAGCACACCAAACTCTCTAATCCCGGCCCAGTAGCACAGTTACTCGCGCGCGCACACTAATCTGGTTTTTATTAGTTTCTTTCTTTTTCTTTTTCTTTTCTTTTTCATTTTTACACATGTCTAATTTTTCTCAGTACCCAATGTACATTTTTAACGCACACATTAAATATTTTTGGATAAACTTCTAATGTTTTCAAATACATTATGTACATTTTTAAATTAAATGTTTTCAAAACTTTTTGTATACAAGGTAATGTTTTTCCAACTACATGTTTTACATTTTCTTAATGACAATAAACAATTTATACAAGAAAATGTTTATGCAAAAAAAAGTGTCCGCACTTTAAACTTTTGTTCAGGTTGTAGAAAAAAATTATGTTTTAAAAAATGTTTGCACTTTAAAATTTTGGTCAAGTTTCAAAAAATGTTTATAAAGGTGTTTGCTTTTTCAAAGTTGTTGGTTTTTTAAAAGTATTCGAAATTTTCAAAAAGTGCTCGCACTTTACAAAGTGTTCAAAGATTTCATAAATAAATACGTTTTCAATACTTGTTTGCCCCTAAAAAATATTTTCAAAGTTTGACGCTTTGGTTTCTGATTAAATATTTCGGGCCTCTGACTATGTCAGTCATAGCCGTCTGCTATAGTAGCTACCAGGTCCCAAGTTCGACTGCACGGCATGTTTTTTTTTGTTTTAGAATTATTACGTCGCCCGTTAAGAAAAAGAAAGAAAGAATTTTTACGTCGCATGTTAGGAAAAAACTCGCTTCGTGTCTAGTGGGCTGACCCAGTCGAGTCCACTGTGAACAATCCAAAAAAAAAAGTTAAATACATTATTTATGAAATTCCAAAAATATTATTTTAAAACTGTGACACAATTTTGAAATGCGAAACATTTTTCAAAGCATGTGAAAAACTGTTGGAATTCTGAACATTTTTTGACAAATGTGATTTTTTT